ACATGATGGCAGCTCCACAATGGCATATTGTACACCACAGAAAAGAATGTAGTGATGAGGAAGAGTCTCCAAGACACATTATTAAATGGAAAAAAGGAAGGGACCGAGCAGAGTGGGAGCCATGGCACCATCAGTTACCTGTCCGCTTGTATGTGCGGAAACGCTCTCTGCAAGGGGACAGAAGCTGACCAACGTTGAGCCTTTGGGAAGGGAACAGGGAATAGGACCCTTCACCTTATGCCCTTTGGACCATGTGTAGTTTACACCTATTTTAAAAACAATGTAAAACCAAACAAACAATAAGGTATGCCCAGCACTCAATAAACCGAGCCGCAGCCCGCCTCACCTGTGGGGTGGGGTGATGGCTCGTGCATGCAATAGGCACCTCTCACCAAATGGCAGATGATGCAAAACCAGGTGGCACCAGCTCAAAGGCAGAACCAACCAGCCTGTCCCCAAAGCCCGTGTCCTGCCTGCCCAGCGGCCACTCACCCTCCACAGTCTCCTTCATCCTGATCTTCTCCCCTGAAATGTCGTTCGACTCAATCATCTGAAAGAAGAGGACTGTAAGGGGGACGCTCGCCGCCCCTCTGCCCCAGCCCCAGCCGGCCCAGCATACTTCACGCCTACATTACATAAGGGGACTTGCTGTGGCAGGGAGCACAGATGTCCTTGAGATGACCCCCCTGACAACAGAGGACCCTCCTCTGTTCCCATCATCCCAAGGCTGCCATGTGAACACCTCCCGCCGCTACCTCTGTTGAAAATGTTTATTATATTGAACGGACATCTCCTTCCCTGAGATGCCTACAGAGGTTGATTCCCATCAACATCCAGAGGCAAGATTCCAGCCTCGGTTTCCCCTCCATGAAACAAATATCGACTGCCATGGGGCAGTGTGTGCAGAGCATACTCCGGACTGGCTCCCAGAGGGACTTCAAGAAATGCTACTTCCTTTCTCTCTAACACGTCTTCTAAATAATAAACTCAGAAGCCGAAGAAGAAAAGATCAAGGAAAAAAAATCTGGGCAAACACCGACTGGCCCCTTACTGCTTCCTTCTCCAAAAGTTTCTGGCCTCCTGTCCACGCTGGCTGTCCTCCAAGTTTGCAGTTTGTCAGAGTCTAACACTGCAGATCAGGAGGCAGTCACCTCCATCAACCTGCCCTTCATACTTCTTCTCATACATCCCAAGCCCCATTTTGTTCGCAGCGAGTGATAACTAAGCCCCTAGATCTTTATTTACAAACACTGCAGGGAAAATGAGGCACACACTAAAACATCTTTTAAAAAGTCTCATACTTATTACATTAGACTAAATATCCAGTTGTACCTGGACATGTGGGTCCGGACTGAGACCCTGTGCATGTAGAAGTCAAGAGAGGTCTTCTTGAGGTCACTACCCACTCCTCTACCCCAGGACTGTGAGTGAGGAGCAGGAGGCCACCCTTAGACCTCTGTCCCCCACGCTCTGTGGAGCTACAGCAGCCCCAAACCTCTCCCGCTAAGGGAGTCCATGTGTGGGTCCCAGGCCTGACCCCCCGGCCTGAGAAGCCAATCAGGCCGTATGCACATAGGCTAACCTGGGCTCTTCCTCCCCTCTGCCCAGGATCCTGGGAGAGCCCTTGTTAAACACGTCACTTCCTAGCAGAAGGGGCCGGAAGGCTGCTACAGTGGGACCTCGAGGCATGACAGGCACCCTGTCCTCGGACCTCCTGAAGACTTACTGCTGAAACGCTGAGTTCTAGTGTAAAAGTACAAGGGGAACCGGAAGCCCAAGAACCCCGGGGCCTGTAAAAAGGCAACGATCATGCTGCTAGCTGTCCCTTCACTCAGACTTGACGTTTGTCATCCTGATCACCCTCTGGCAGCCCTCTGGCACCAGGGTTGGGCACCTCCTCTGCCACTGGTGGGCAGAAACCCTGGGAAGGTTACTCGTCTTGAGGTCTTGGTTGGATCATCTATGAAACGGAGCATCGACCTCGTGGGAATGAAGTTGAAATGGGGCAACATAGGGCCTGGCACAAGGTGTGGTGCCCGTAGCCACTCAAAGGCCCTTCCCAGCCCACTGGAGTGAACACAACCTGTCTGGGCCGCGCTAGCGTGCTCAGCCGGGACGTCTGGATTTGGAGCAAAGCTGATACTGGTGGCAGTAGCGTCTCCAGGGCCACCCCTCCAGCCTTCCAGACCCCTCTCCCGGGACCCCACACCCTCGGAAAGTGACCACTGGACTGTGGCTCATCTCATTAGGACCAGCAGCAAGAGGGCGCCCTCAGATCCCTGGGTCAGCACTCCAGTTGGAGACGGGGGCCCGGGGATGGGCAGGGCTTGTGCATGTCAATGCCAGCCCACGGCACAGGGGACTCACAGGAGGACATGTGTGGGCACATCAGGGACTTGGGGACTTGGAGGAAGCCTGTTCTCTGCTCTGCGGTTCATCTCTCTCCAGGCCTGATCTGTGGGAGACCCAGCCAGGTCAGCTCAGACCATCATGGGTCCCCACAGTCACAGGGCCGGCTGCCCTTCTCGCAGAGGGACAAGAGGCTCCCTCCTCTGAGCCTAGTGCCCCCATATCTCAATAGGCATGTGCCTGGGGGCAACGAGAACGCTTCTCTGGGCTGAAAAAAGAGGTCAGTAAACACCAGGCCCTCCCCAGCCAGCTCTCAAGCCCGAGCTGCTGCTGCCCAGGGGCCCGCACAGCCCGCAGGGAGGCGCTGCGTACGTTGGTGTGCTGGGACGAACACAGGGACTCGACAGCCTGGAGTCTGTTCTCAGCGACCAGCAGCTTCTCCCGCAGCCTCTCGGCCTCCTGCTTGCTCTGGGCCTCCGACCGCTGCAGCAGCTCATAGTCGAGCATCTTCTTCTCGGCCAGGGAGATCTGCTCCTTGAGGAACTCGATGGCCTGCGCCTGGCCCCGGTACTCCGCGTCCAGCTTCTCCAGCTCGTGCACCCGCAGCTCGGCGTCCCGGCACTGGTCCTGGGCCTCCTGCAGCTCCAGCCGGTGCTGGCCGGCCTGCACCTCCAGCTGGGCCCGCCAGTGCTGCTGCAGCCCGGCCAGCTCCTCCTGGGCCTCCTGCAGCTTCTGCCGCAGGCCGTCCTTCTCCTTCACGTGCATGGCCATCTCGATGTCGTGCTTGGCGCGCAGGTTGCCCAGCTCCAGCTGGTGCTCCATCTTGATGCCCTCCATCACAGCCTTCAGCTCCCCGATCTCCTTCTGCTGGGCGCCGGGGCCCGAGTTCAGGGTGGCCTTGAGGTCCTCCAGGGACTTCTGGTGGTCCGAGGCCAGCGAGTCCAGCTTGGACTTCCAGTTGTCCATGAGCCCCATGTTCTCGCTGGTGGCCTGCTGGACCTTGGCCTTGAGGTCCACCACCTCCTGTGCATACTTGTCATTGGCGGCCCGCAGCTTCTCCACCTCGGCCTGGTAGGCCCTCAGGGCCTTCTCGTACTTGTCCCGCAGCACGCCGCTCTCCCTCTGGTGCTCCTTGCTGGCCGACAGCAGCCGCTCCCGC